TAAGATCACTATATGATTCAACACTAATGCAAGATGACCTAGATAGATTGGTTATATGGTGATCCGAGAATAATTTACAGTTGAATATCGCAAAATGCTCTTTTGTAAGTTTTTACAAAAGAAATAAAAAAAATTGATACTTCTTATGTAATTAATGGCCATGGATTATCTTATGTTTCGTCTGTGTGAAGGATCTGGGTGTTTTTTTTATGAACAACTTAAATTTTTAGACCACTTGAACTATATTGTGGTAAAGGCGGCAAAATGTCTTGGATTTATTCCACGACATAGTAAACATCTGTCCCTTCAAGTCTTAAGGATAGTTTACTTGTCTCTGGTAGTATCAATATTAGATTATGGCTCAATGATAAGGTCTCCATTTTATGACAATCACAATCTCAGTATTGAAAGAGTTCAAAACAAATTCCTAATATTTTGTTCTCATAGAATGAGTATACCTGTTATTGACTATGATTATAGCAACATTTTAGAAACCCTTAATTTCAATCTGTTGAGAAAAAGGAGGGAATACTTTGATCTAAATTTCATATACAAGTTACTGAATGGCTTGCTTGTTGCTCCTGAAATTCTAGAAAATATCAATTTCAATGTCCCAAACAGAATTCTAAGGTCCAGGGATTTGTTTCACTTACGGTTTCACTCTACAAATTATGGCTTACATAACCATGTTGATCGTACATTTCGACTTATTAATGAAAGAAAATTGGCAGTAACTGGTAATATCTCTCAGCAAATTAAAAAACAATCTCTTAATAATAATCTCTTATAATAACATAAGTTAATGTAATGTAGTATATTACTTTATTATATAATTGTTAATTTTATTCTCAAATGGGGGTGATCCCGTAAAATAAATAAATAAATTACTGTATCTTCGAACGAGATAATGAAAAATGGAGACCCCAGCATCATGGAAAACTACCGACCCATAACAATACCCACGGTATTGTGTAAGGTGTTTGAGAAATGCATGTATAATAAGATGTTTAATTTCCTGGACAAGTTCAACATAATAACCAGGTTTCAACACGGTTTTTGGCCGGGTAAGTCGACTGAAAGTGCTTTAAACGAGTTTTTTGATTATGTCTATGATGCCCTTGATAAGAAAAAGTACGTGGGTGCACTTTTTTCGACCTATCCAAGGCATTTGATATCATCAATCATGATTTAATCCTGAGTAAGTTATTCTCGCTAGGATTTAGAGGAAATGTACTTTCATGGCTGGAGTCACATTTGACTCTTAGAAAGATGTGCGTGAAATATGTTGACTGCCAATCACAATCATACTGTAATGAATATGGAGTCCCTCAGGGATCCATTTTGGGACCTCTGATGTTCCTACTTTTCATCAATGATATGTCAAAACATATGAATACAAACCGAATAATTTTATATGCAGACGACACAACACTTGCTGCAGCTGCTGAAAGCCCGCAAGAACTCCAAGTTAAACTCATTTAAAGATTGGTGTCGCAAAAACTCCTTGGTTGTAAACTCCAGTAAGACTGTTTCAATCCAGTTCTACTGTAGAACTGTCACGAAAATTACCGATTTTCGAGTCAGAGAGTAAGTAGTCGTGATGTGATTTCGTTAGACAATACTAAATTCTTTGGTACCTATGTTGATAGTAACATGACTTCGGAGTCAGCTGTGAGTCAGGTCAGAAAGAAAGTGAACTGTGGTTATTATGTTATACGGTAACTTTCATCCACACTGATCAGCTTTTGAATGTTTATTATGCCGTAATTTATTCTCACATCTCATAAAATATCGCTGTATGGAGTTGCTCCACATCTATAAATAACATTTTTGTTGGCCAAAAGAGAGAATTGCGTTTGATTTACAAATTAGATGCTAGAGAATCTTGTAGACCGCATTTTATCAGAAATAAGATTTTGTCTGTACCCTGCATTTAAATATACAAAATTATTCTGAATTTTAGAAAACATATACACAATCATCTCCGCAATTTGGATTTTCATGCATATCCAACAAGAAATGGTAACTTCATTAGGTTGGAAAAACATTCAACTAATTTATATGAGAACAGTCCATCCTAGGAAGGAGCAAAGCTTTTTAATAATCTTTCCGATTACATAAAAAGGGAAAATAAAAAAATGAATTTCAAACAAACCCTGAAAAATTCTTAATTCACGGTTCTTTTTACAATGTCGATGAGAGTGTATTGTTTAAATATTTAATATACTTTTTTTAATTTATTTTTTTCCTTGTGTTTGTGTATTCATTTGTTGAATCTCACGTTTTGTAAAGATTTTTATGTATGCATAATGTCGACGTATCCTATATCAACTTGTGATCATGAAGGACTTAATAAATTATTATTATTAATGTGAGTGCCTTCTTTGTTGAGAGCATGTTCGGCTACAGCTGATTTATCGGTTTGTCCGAGTCAACAATGTATCTTGTGTTTGGAGAAACGGGTACCCACACTTCTTTTCATGGTTCCAATGTATACCAACCCGCAGCTACAAAGAATCCGGAAAACCCCTAAATATCGGTTTCACGTCGTGATTCTCTGAGATTTCCCCAATACGGTCTGTAACATTTTTAAAATAGGAAAGGAAAGCTTTTCTCTTGACCAGGCTAGCTAAAGTTACTCTCTTGGGTCGTATGGCTGGGTCGATTTCTCCTTCGCTGTACCCACTCACTATGAAGGCGTTTTAGGTGATCGAGTTCTTCAGTAAGACTCTCAGGTTCCCGAATACGTCGTGTTCTCTCAACCAACGTTTTAATTACCCGTCCCTTTTGTTGTAGCTGGTAGTTAGAGTTTTTGTTCAGGTACCCGTCTGTGTGTGTTGGTTTCCTGTACACTCTGTGGCTCAAAGTACCATCTTCACGTCTGTTCACAAAAACATCCAAGAAGGCTCGAGTCTCTTGGGTTTCTCGTTCTACTGTGAATTGGATTTTTAGGTCAAGAGAGTTTAGATATGATAGAAATGTCTTTAGTGTTTCTTCACCATCTTGCTATACCATGAAAGTAACCTCAACATAGCGCAGACAACAATATGGTTTCATATGCTCTAAGGACCGTGGTACCACCTCCGGACTTTATGGACTGCCCGTCGAGGTACCATTCGTTTGTTCGTAAAAAACACCATCCCACTGGAAATGAGTCGACTATTTCAACTATTTTGGATGAAGTGTCCCGAATCCTAAAAAATGACTCTGTATTTCCTATAAATGGCTGCAGTAGGTTTGCAATAGGTTCACCAGCTCATAAGTTGGTGAACCTTTAGCATTTACAATAGGTCTAAGTGGCACATGGTAAGCTATATAGACGTGAGAGCAAGGCTTGGGATTTTTGTATGAGCTTTTTCGTGTCGTCTTCAAAATTTGATGAACGGATGAAAAGATTCGTTTTTCTCAAAAACCCGGAAATCAGTTCCCGACTGAGTCTTTTATATGTCCCTGTTCGAGTAAGGCGACAATTTTCTTATTATAATCCTTGTTGTTCATCACGACGGTGGCATTTATCAGCAGGCAATACCAAGATATTTTTATCTGTGTTTAAATTTTCCAGCGCCCCTCGTTTCCGTCGTGTTGTGTTTGCCTTGGGTGGCCAACCTTTTAACGCTTAGGAAGCTCTCAACTTACATAAAATTCCCAACTGGTGATATATAAGAAAAAAATATTTGGTAATCAAAATAGGTACCTGAAAAATATATCAACTGCAATCAAGCGAGTATTTTTATTTATAAACACCTTAATCATAAAAATAATAACTTAAATTATTCTATTTGAAACGAGCATTTTTTACCTGGAGTTAAACAATTAGGGGGTTCATGTACCATCCATGAAGCTGGATGGTAGTATACCAGGTGATAAAGAAATCATTATACACGGTCCAGTTTAATATTACCGACAATAAAACAACTGAATATACCTTCTGGTTTACCTAAAAATGGACCAAAGTCAAGAATTTTGAATAGTAGCATGTATATTCTTTGAACGGTTTGATAGAACATTTCAACGATCTAACAAGTTGCCATTTCTATTAAAAGTGGTGCTCAGACAATGCACATATCACTGATGATGTCTGCCTCAATAGCAGACAAAACGTTTAGCACTTCAGGTTCCATTCAAACACGGCCTACTAGCCGGGATTTTGCTGTCTTCAATCGTAACTCCGGTTGCGAAAGCCTACGTTCTTATATAATTCATGTACTTTTTATTGTTACCGATGTTTATTATATCTTCAGGTCTCATAAATTGTTAATTCTTTACTTTTCAACAACTATAAGGGCATTGCTTCAACATTGTTTCAAAATAAAAACATGTTTTCACGACCGGAGTCATGATTAAAAAGAACAAAATCTGAACTGATAGGCTGTGGTGGAATGGAACCTGAAGAACCAAACGTTTTGTCTGGTACCGCGGTAGACAGCATTAGTGGTATATGTGTTGACTTTGGATACGAAGGTTATAAAAAATATTACTGGAGTTTTTTCCAACACCGAACCGTTATTTTAACACCTCGGCACGTGTTTCGATCACCAAGTGATCATCTTTAAGAGGAAGATTGATCTTCCTCTTGAAGATGATCACTTGGTGATCGAAACACGTGTCGAGGTGTTAAAAATAACGATTTGGTGTTGGAAAACCTCCAGTAATATTCATTACTACACCAATAGTTCCAAACAGTACATCACAAGCAAGAAGGTTATATCTCGAAGTCTCAGCAAGGACTGACTGCCGATCTACGTTTTCACTCGTATTTATAATTTCAGAGGGGCGATAATGGGGATGGCTGCAGGGCCGACGGTGGGAAGGATGGAGGGGGCGGTTGCCGATTGTCCATGAAAATACTCACTCCTGATTGGTCCAAACTGTTACTAGGTTGCTGTGATTGGTCCATGCTGTTCTTAGGTATGCTGCTGGTGGGATGTCGATCGGAGTTGTATTCTACTTTTTACTTCATCTTTGTCAAATATCTGAATGGTAAGTGGTATTTTTTCAACTTTAACAACAAAGTGTAGCCTTTATATTACAACGTCCACTTTTCTGGGTCAATGAAAAAGTGACAGTTTCAAAATTGTTTAACCACATTGCTCTATTTTGTTAAATTTAGACTGGCAGAGAAAAATGAAAGGCAAATGATTTTAGATATGAATGATAATAAATAATAAGTACTTGTATTGGTGAAACACTCAAATTTTTCCTTGAAAATTAGGCAAACTATGTTTTTCAAGTCAAGTTGTTTGACAGTATTTTCATAGATGACGCCACATCGCCGCCATATTGAATTCAATGAAAATCGCTTCCATGCCGCCATTTTGAATAGAAATGTTGTTGAATAGAGAATTTCATTTCCCAAGAAAATATACTTGACTAGGGTTGATTTCCAAATAAACCAGAATAGGTTTTCAACTAATTTATTCATTGAACTGTTTCTTCGCACCGAATTTCGATTTTATTACCCAAAAACAACTGAATGACGCTGTGTACAATGATTTCTTTGTGACCCAGTATATTGCACCCTATATTACAAAGGAAAAGTAAACTAAAATAATTCATACATGAACAACAAATGAAATAAACAATAAACGTCAATAATGAATTCATACTCAATGCATGACTTCATTCTGTTTCAAGTCAATGCTTCTAACGAATACCTCTACGATTATTTCATAAAAGCTATCTCACCTCATCGTTTCTTCATGTACAGGTTGTGTAATAACATTCAGAAGAGAAATAAAATGTTACAATACCAAAATGATTGAAACCAAACTAGCAAGTATCAGCTCAAAGTACGTAATTCTCCATATTCGCCCCCTCAGACCAAGCAGCATGACGTGCGCCGTCCATTTCGGTTGCGACAGCTTGTCCCGGCAGCAACCGATGGTTCTCTCCGCCGATGTTCACGCCGCATTCGTTACATTTGGAGACCTGCATGGCGCCTCCGCATTCGGTGATGATGTAAGGATGCCCGTTGGGGCACTTGTACCAGTGGCCTAGACTCAAGCCTACGGCTTTAACGATGGCGACGCGCTCAGCTTCAGAAATCTGTATCGGCGAGGCTGTTACTTTCCTCAACGTTTTCAGTTTGGATTTCAAGATTTCATCAAAGTTGGAACTGAATCTAGTCGGGGTGTTCAAAAGACCTTCAATCTCTGCAACCTGGAACAAGATTTTTATGGCATCTTAGAAATTAACAATTGAAAATGAATCTAAATAAATGAACTTCAAGCGTTCAAAGCTAGTCTCGATATACCTACACAGTAGGTTGAATGGACTGATGCCTATCAGAAAACAACTACTCTCCTGGCTAATATCACGAAGGGCGTTGGATTATATCCGACAGGCGTCAGTGCAGGAATCTTCACAGAAAATGTCCTGGATATGCAATTGGCAATACAACTGAAAGAATCGACCTTCAATTTTGGAACGGGCACACTTGCAGACCGGTTTCGGGCTCATTAGCCACTCGTCGGTGCAAGATAGTAACCATCATCGACCTAAAGTCAATGATATTACACAATTGAAAATCGGAGTTCTTTCAGAGTATTTCATTTCTCTTCCGAAGTTGGAGCGAACATCACAAAATGTCACTCCATCTAGTGGACGAGGTACTAATCAACTGTATGTCCGTAATTTGCATAGCCCACTGACTAATAAGAAAAATTAAAAATGACACGCTTTGAAAAATTTCATTAAAAAAAAATCCGAATTAATTTGAAAAAATATTTGTTGTTTCAAAACTGTATGTGTGTATCTGGATTTCGCTCCGTGTTCTGTGTGTTTGATCCTCTCAAGGATTATTTTCACAACGTTTCGGAAAAGTCTCATTTTCCATCTTCTGGTGATGTCTGGAGTTTAGAACTAGACTGATTAACTTAAACTCTGTTCCTTGATTTATAGGAGTATTTGTACCGTTTGTTTGAAGGTGATTGACAATGTTTCATGATGAATTTCACTAGTTCGAACTTCCATAGATAGATAGATAGATAGATAGATACATTCATTTCAACAGAGTATTTTATAATCATTCACAGGAGTGGCAGAAAATTTTTGTCTGAGAAATACGTCAAAAGGAAAATTGTAAAGATATCAAATATTGTTTCCCCTCGCTGTGTGTGTTTCTTGTGCTCGGCAATGCCAACATTCAATGGCCTCTTAGTTTCACCAATATAGGATTTTCCGCACTCACAGGGATTCCGTTAAATGCAATTCTTGGAATCGCAGTCCGCGTTTTTTAGTTGTTTCAGGGATTTCAAATCATTTTTATTTAGTATAAAAAGGAAGTCCAAACTAGTGAAATTCAGTGTTTGTACCATTTACCTGCCTCCTACTGCCTGTGTTAGTCCGATTACCTGTATTGACCTGGTTACATGTGCTGTCCCGTCTGCCTCTGTCATTATACCCAAATTATCACTTGCAAAGTTTTGCTTTTGGGGTTGTGCGGTCTGTTTGATTTTGTGGAGTGAGTCAGGTATATACCTGACCCCCAAGTCTCGTCACTGACATTGTTCTTGCTTCGTACAGTTCCAAGTGAACCAAGTGTTCACTTGATTGATTGCTAGAGCTTCCTTGTAACATTCTGTCATGACATTTATATACTACGATATACTACGATATCCATATATTTATCCACAAATTATATAATTACAATGCTAGACAGAAAGACCATCATTACTTTACCTTGAGACCTCAATTAACTCACTCCACACGATTCAAGACTTGTCTGTATTGTATCCCCTGAAAAAAATAAAGCCGGCCGCCGCTGGTCTTCGTCAATCGACTGCGACATGGCGCAGGTCGAGCTCAACTCGACTTGCGTTTCTCAATCGTTCTAGAGGTCGCGTCGCTTCGAGAATGATTCTATCAGCTTCCTAAGACTTCCATTAGCATATATAAGCACTACCAACAGGCAGATTGAGGAAGTCCCAGTACTTTGAAATCTGTAATTGACTTAGTAGAATCCTACTTCAGCAAGTGCTGAAAATGTGACCCATTTTCTTCCATACAATAATACAGATTTTGTTCAAATCTATTCCTAACATTCTGTAGCATATCAGGTGTTATACTTCTGCACTCTGCTGTAATTCGTTGGCGAAGATCTTCTATGGACTCGGGCTGCGTAGCAAAACATTTATTTTTCAAGTGTCCCCAAAGGAAAAAGTCTAAAGGCAATAAATCAGGTGACCTGGCAGGCCATTCGATGGAGCCTCTCCTTCCAATCCACCGTCCAGGAAACCGGTCATCTAAAAACTCTCTTACCGGAGCAACATGTCAGGAAGTGCTCCATGTTGCTGGAAATGAAGCCGATCATCATTATGATTTTGGTCATTTTCAATTATTTCTGTTATGAGAGGATCAATTGTATCTTCAAGCATGTTCAGGTAGACCTCACCAGTTAAATTCCCAGGAATAAAATGTGGCCCTACGATATGACTACCTAATATGCCACACCAGACATTGATTTTTTGAGGGTACTGGGTATGGACCTCTCGGAATAAGTGTGGGTTACTGTCATTCCAGTAACGGCAATTATGCCTATTCACAGCTCCATTAAAAAAAATGTACTCTTATCGGAAAAGCACGTGTTGAATGATAGGTGCGGATCATCAATTAGTAGCTGGCTGAGTTATTCACAAAATTGCAGCCTTCTATCAGGATCATCTTCATTGAGTTCCTGTACTAATGAAATTTATAGGCTTTTAATATCCGTATTATGGACGAACGGGAGACACCTGAGGCTGCAGCAAGCTGACGGGTACTTTGAGTATGATCCATTTCAACATGTCCCAAAAACAGCGACTTCCGCTGCTTCATTTCTGATCGTTTTCCGTGGCTGGTGTTTCACATTACAGACAGATCCGGTATCGACAAACTTTTGGACTAACTTGGCAACGTACGAATCATTCACATTTTTCCTGGGATGACTGTTGTTAAAGAGGCGAGCAGTAAGTCTAGCACAACTATTATGTTGATAATAAAGTTCAGGAATGGAATAAACCATTTTTACAGTAAAGTTGAAATAATTTCAAAAGCAACCGAACTGAATCAATGTACGTTTGTCTAAATTCTTTTTGTACACTTATCTGCTGTTGTTATTTGAACCAAAAAACGCACAAGAGAAATTGAGCAATGTAGTAGTGATAAAAATGCCGTTTTTTTCGCATTTTCATTAACACCAAAAATATTGAGTAAATGTTCTTGCTTTTTTATACCTATTCAAGTAAATACAACAAATTAGGTATCATTGGAAAGAGAATGTTGTGCCCTTTCAAATGATATATCACTCGACCCCACTTTCCATTTAAAATTTTAGGGTTGTTACTCACCCTCGATAGGGGGTTGAAGGCACAGGTAGAAAAATACATCTAAAATGTGTCCCCCTCAAAAGCAAAATTGACCTGTCCGAACATTTTTGCGTTAAGTTACAAAAAAAGGAGAAAAGCAAGGTGCATACTTTTCGTTGGACCACTCGATATAATCCAATTATATAGCCAAAATGCTACTAACCTGCTGCTTGACTTCATCTCTGGTACTGTAAGAAATGGTGGAGGATATTTTGAGCTGTTCAAACTGAGACCACCTCATCAGCCGATTGATCTCCAGGGTGATGTCTTCTATCTCTTGGTCAGTAATCGAATCCTCGTCCCTCATCACAGCGGCTACTATAAATGAAACTTGTTGCTCGCAGTTCTTCAAAATGGTTCCTAATGAGACGGTTAGTTTGTGCGTGGTAAATTTAGACATGGTATTTTTGAGCTCTTCTTTTACATTCACAAAAATTTTGATGACGGCTTCGAAAATCTGTATTTTAGATTTGATAGCACTCAGATCCATTTTGTTGATAGCTTGGCGACGCCTTCCTTTGCTGATACTTAATCTCTGGGCCAAACGATGTAAAGCAGATAAAAAACATTCTGGAACTAATGAAATATTCATGATTAAATTTGGTTTGGTTTTGAAGCTCACCTTCTACCAATAATAACTTTTGGATGGAACGAATATACATTATACAATCGAAATGAGTCGATTTTCAATTTGGATTTGATTTTTGAGATGATAATTGAAAATACAAAGGACGTTTTGAAAATTTGATTAGACAGTAATGCATAATCTACTATGATTTTTGCAAAATAATACATGAAGAATGAAAATAATAAAAAATTTATTGAAAAACATTATTTCTTGGATGGGTTTGGGTTTGTAACCTTTCACAATCTAAAAATAAATGAATAAACATAGATCAACAAGTGCACGAAACTTAACCTGCTTCAATATAACAAACAACTGTGAAAATCTCGACATTTATTATAAACCTATTGGTCAAGTTAAGAACCACGTTAGGAAGCTTTTACACTCTAGTCAAAATACATGAACCCAAATTGAAAGTTATTCTACCATATGAGCTTATTACTACTACTGTATTACTGCTGAATTATGTTTTTTTTGTAATACACCTAAACTATGTTTTTACTTGTTAGCTCTATAGCATTATATCTGACTTATGGTTTTTTCAATTACTCTCCTAGCTTGTTGCACAGAAGTGTTCCAGCTAATTTTTTGCTTAACTCTCCTAAATGTTTACTTTATTTTATTTTTTGTTTACTCGCTTCAGGTGTTTCTAGTTGATAAATTATTTGAACTGAAGGGGTTATATTTTTAGGAGTGATTAATTTTTGGGAAAGAAAGTTTTTGGCTTTCTACTACTCCATCTTGATACAAAAAAGGGAATCTTCCAAAAAAAGGAAGGAAGTAATCAATTTGAAAATAAGTAACTCTATACATGGATGTGTAGATCATGCAAAGAAGTAACTTTCAGACACAAACTGAAAGAAAGTCCTCCTGAAACAGCTACTTTCATATAAACATTGAATTATACGAAAGTAAAAAATTCTTTCGAAACAAATACTTCTATATGAACACTGAATTATACAGAAGATACTTTTCTCTACTCAGTTTGTATTTCAAACATTCGTTGTGGAATAAAAATCAGATATCATTCACATGAGTTCTACTTTAAATGAATGGTAACAAATTGCACTTACATGGAAAACTGTCATCCTATCTGGTATACATCGATGTTTCGCCTTAAGACACCTGCCCTAAGGCTCTTCAGTAACAAATTGGATAACATTATAGAAAATACACACATTCATTCAAAAAAAAAATCGTAATTCATGAATGAAGTGTGTGTATTTTTTATAATGTTATCCAATTTGGTACTGAAGAAGTTTAGGGCAGGTGTCTTAAGGCGAAACATCGATGTATACCAGTGGGGATGACAGTGTTCCATGTAAGTGCAATTTGTTACCATTCATTTGAAGTGGAACATTTTTATTCCACAACGAATGTTTTAAATACAAATTGAGTAGAGGAAAGTATCTTCTGTATAATTCAGTGTTCACATAGAAGTATTTGTTTCGAAAGAATTATTTTCTTTTGTGTAATTCAAGTTACTTCTTTGCATGATCTACACATTCATGTATAGAGTTACTTATTTTCTAATTTATTACTTCCTTCCTTTCTTTGGAAGATTCCCTCATCCTTTTTTTTTGTATCAAGATGGAGTAGTAGAAAGCCAAAAACTCTCATTCCCAAAAATTGATAAATTAGTATTGTATTCATGTATAAGTGTATGTATGTATGTATATGTATGTGTATTGTGTGTATATAGGCAGATATAAACTGTAACATGCTTGGTAATAATATTAATATGTCTTGTTATTGGGATTTATTCCTGTTTAGACATCAAACATTTTTTTTTGATATTGGATATACGGCAGAGAATAATAAATATTTGTAGAGATATTGACGTTACTGTGTTCGAAAATGTTCGGCGTGAAATATCGGAGAGGCTGTTCATATGTCAAGAAGTTCAAGGCAACCATTTCGAGCATCTTCTGAACTAACCTCAAGCTTATTACCTCATATTATGTAGTTAAATGTCAATGTTTTCAGGCAATTATTAAAAGTTCCACCATTTTGTAGTAGGTGAAGATATTGACTTCATATTCTAGGGTTGTGAAGCATTTGTCAGGAGCTTCAAAAAGATCTGTCACAAGACCCCCCCTTTCCATTAATTTTTTTTCCCACATGGCGCCCGGTCGCCATCTTGAAAGTTTCATCTGTCAATTTCACTTCAAAATAAAGTATTCATGCATTAATTTCATTATCCCAAATTTCAATTTTTCGAATTAACCCGTTCAGAAAATAAAAGGGGGGGGGACATTAAAGAAATGCACTCTATATGTCAAAATGGAGGCGGTAAAGCTCAACAATTTTAGTTTTTGGCGAAAAACCAATGTATTCTCATATAAGAAAATGAATATTTCGAAATAAAATATTCATCTCTCATACACAGTTGGTTCTGGTAAATTCCTGCAGGAAAACAACTACTTCCCCGACTTATAACACGCTGGATATTGAATTATGAGGGCGGTCTGAAAAGCTTTCGTCCTACAAAGATACAAACCATTTTTTCACTTCTTTTAACTCTACACACTTCTTCCTGCGATGCTCTGATCTCTATAATCCGTCCAAATAGAACCTGGTGTTTTTTTCTGCAAAATCATTGTTAATGAAGGTGATTGCCTCTTCATGTGACAAAAATCTATTCCCTGAGCGCAATTTTCAAATGAGGAAACAAAAAGAAGTCGATTGGGTCTAGATCTGGTGAGTAAGGCGGATGGTCAAACAGTTCAAACCGTAATTCGTGGATTTTCGCCACGGCAACCGCTGTGGTGTGAGAACAGGTGAAACAGGATTTTCTTTTACTGCACTCACTCACTCAAACGACTGTTACATAACAACTCCGCATCCAAAACGGCTGAAACTTCGGTGAGTAACTGTCAGCAGATGAATATCGAAATTCACTAGCTTTTGATTACGAGTGCTCCTATCTTCATGTTGAGGTCGGAAACTTTTCAGACCACCCTCTTATATGCATAAATGTCTGTCGGATATCTCAATGTCCAGCGTGGTATTAGCCGGGGAAATAATTTTTTTCTGACAAGCATTTACCAGAACCTACAGTTTTAAGACACGTTTTGATCTCTGTTAGAGTATTGGTAAATGGGATGTTTGTTCCCAGCTTGAGGCTTTGTTCACTAGATGTAGCTCTCAGACAAAGATTTCATATATGCAGTCGAGTCGCTTATACAGAGTGACACATTCTTTATAATCGCCACTAACCACTAACTTGGCTAGTGAAACGCGTGTTCTGGTGTTTTTAATAGTGTTATCATCCGAAAAAAAAAATGCCCGCCGCCGCTGGTCTTTTTCAATCAATTGTGACTTGGCCAAGGTCGCGCTCAACACGACTTGCGCTTCGCGAACATTCTAGATATCGCGTCCCTATCGGATTCCAGAGACTTCCATTGCGATATATAAGCATTACCAACAGGCAGATCGGAAAAGTCTAGTAGAAAGTGCGGTACGAAGTGATATAATAAGGCGTTAGACATTTGAAAATTAGTCTGAAGAAGAAAAAATTTAAAAATGCTTACAGTTCAACACTGAAAGTAGGAGCTCTACTTCTGTCAAGTCTTCCCTTATGCTCAGTCTTTCCTTTTCGTTCTCTGCTTCAATTCCGTAGAACTGCGTCTTCACCTTTATGATGTCCATCAAAGTACGTCTGGTGTAATTGCTGTATCGAGTCGTGGTTTTGATAGTAGTTTTACATTTCGGGCACACCTTATGGAAACAAAAAGATAAAACACTGATGGATTATTCCGATATTAACGACAACATACATTTTTATTACAATGACCATGATATCAGCATGAATAAGCAATAAAATCCTATACAAGCCATCAGATGAACCAAGTATGAATCCACTTGGTTGGTGGTACACGCATCGATAAAAGTTCAATAGTTCTAGTGTGTGAGAATAGTGTTTATGTTGCTATAAGAGGCAACTAAAAAAGGGGTCTAATCCAGTGGTGTGATGAATCATGTGGTGAAAAATGGGCCTTATTGAGTATCACCAACAGAGTCTTTGCCAGGCGATCATGTAGGAGGCTCCATTAACTTTAGACAACTTTTAGACCACCATTAGACAACTTTTCCCACAGAATCGTGGATACTCAATAGACCACAAGAAGAATTAGGAAATGCTTCTTCCAGTGACTCTAGTGACTTTAAAATGAAAGTATTTCCAGCCAACCTACAGCAGAGTAAGAACTCTAGAGGAAATGTAATGAAATTGGCCCATACTTGATGAAAATCCAGTTTACAAAACTGCAACACATGTTTCGCTATTCAATAGCTTTCTCAAACTTTTTCATGCAAACTGAATTCTACCTAATTTGTGCTTTACATAATAACAATTTCAATCATATAACCTTCTACCAAATCGCTGTAAACAATGGTTACAAGGTAGATATTATCGACTCCATTCTTTCCAGAAAACTGCGAAAAAATCCATTTACCAAGTCGCTCCCTTATCAAGAAACAATAATAAGCGTCTTAGGACACTGACATACTCTGGTGAACCCAAACCTCGTTTTTTGAAAAGGATTCTTGAATTGACTTACAAAACAAATAATAATTTGAGCGAAAACAATAAAGACACAACTTCGTTGTCAAATAGATTAGGAGTATATGAGATGACTTGTGGTTCTTGCTCGAAGACTAAAGGAATATAAGAGTAGTTTGAGTAGGACTTGTGTAATAATCTGAAATGTCGTAACACCAATACAAAACTATTATAATTATTATTACATTCATTCACAGCTCACCTTAGCCTTAATTACGTTCTCGTCCATCTTCAGCCACCGTTCCATGTCACCAGATTCGAAAATATGCCCACAGTCCTCCAGCATGACGTAGATGGCATCTTCTTCGTCTTCGTTGCCAAGAAAAACTTCCGTCAGTTCCTCTTTGTCGCAGATCTTGCAGAGTACGGGGCAACGGTCCCCACAGAAGCCGACGCATCTGTGTCCGCATTTCAGCATCTTCATGCACGGCTTGGAGCAAGGAGGTACGTTGCATGGTTCTCCACATTTTTTAGTGCATTGCTGAAAATTAAGTTTTTATTACAGATTTGATTCCTTCAGCAGTAACTATTCTTAACCCACCCACTCCGTAATTTGAATACACTACGGCTGTGCAACAGCACGCGATTACTCATTATATGATCTATTAGCTCTAGCTAGCTCCTTTGATGTGTATAAAGTTATTGATGAATATACATGCATAACAAAAAAAAATTCAAAAAGTGGCATTGATAATATCTTTACAAATTATAAGGGTACTTCATGGATCAATAAGTCCCGAGACTAACAATGAAAACAACATTTTTTTTACAAATTTTTTTTTTATTCATCAACATAATCTCCTTTTAGGGTGATACAATGGTTCCAACGCTTTTCCAATTTTTCAATACCATGTTATCTTTCGCTTCAAAATAAGTTTCAGTTTCAGCGATGACCTCCTCATTTGAGCCAAATCTTTTTCCCTGGAGCATTTTTTTAAGATCAGCAAAGAGCCAGTAGTCACTGGGGGCTAAATCTGGTGAGTATGGGGGGTGGGGAAGCAGATCAAAGCCCAATTCGTTTAATTTTGCCATTGTTTTCATCGACCTGTGGCAAGGTGCATTGTCTTGGTGAAAAAGGATTTTTTTCTCTGCATGTGCGGTCGTTTTTTTGCGATTTCCTCCTTCAAACGTACCAGTAAGTCAATATAATAATCACTGTTGATCGATTTTTTTTTTTCGAGGTAGTCAATGAAAATCACGCCATGCGCATCCCAAAAAACTGACGCCATCACTTTGCCAGCTGACTGCTGCGTTTTCGGACGTTTCGGACGGCTTTCGCCAGCTGTGCGCCACTCAGATGACTGCCGCTTTGACTCTGGAGTGTAGTGATGTATCCATGTTTCGTCCATGGTCACGTAACGACGCAAGAAATCTTTTTTGTTGCGAGTAAATAGCGATAAACAGCTTTCTGAATCATCGACTCGTTGCTGTTTTTGTTCCATCGAAAGCAATCGCGGCACCCACTTAGAAAAAAACTTTTTCATGCTCAATTTTTCATGAAGGATAGTAAATACACTTCCATATGATATCTGTGTCATCTCAGCAATCTCACGGAGCTTCACTTTACGATTTTTCATTACAATTTTTGTCACTTCACTCACATTTTCCGGTCTAACAGCTTCCACAGGTCTACCCGAGCGTTCTGCGTCATTTGTGTCGGTACGACCACGTTTAAACTCGGCAAACCACCGACAAATCGTTGCTTTTGATGGACAAGAGTCCGGGTAACATTTTTCAATCCATTCTTTCGCTTGCACGGTGTTTTCACCCATTAAAAAACAATGTTTTATCAGAACACGAAACTCGGTTTTTTCCATTTTTTAAACAAACTACAAAACGACTTTACTCTAACCTCGATAACTCAGCTGTTTCTGGTCCGATCGACTTAAAATTTCGACACGTTTCAAGCAAAGGTTAGTACTCTAGAAAGACGTGGTTACTGGTTTACTAAGAACGCCATCTCTGGGTTAGTCTCGGGACTTATTGATCCATGTAGTACATTACGAAAGCACTTGAGATACATGCTTCAGGTCATACAGCCCAAATGATTACATGTAAGCTCAATCTGCAAAACTCAATGAAAGGTACCCATAAAAGATGTTTCAGAGGAAAACATAAAAAATTTTGTCGAGAAACTAAATAATGAGGATTGGGAAGAGGTCTATGAAATACAACATGAACAAGTAAACAAACAATGGGTGATGTTCATCAATGACTTTATAAATATTTTCAACGAATGTTTTCCAAAATATTTGGTATTCCATCCGGACCAGGACCTTTCTTTGATTTTAGATTTTGTACAGATACAAAGGAAGCTTGAGAAATGAGAAACTCAATAATACAACACATACCTCAGTCTAAATCTAAAGCTAACGAAATATTGCAAAAATATTCACCTGGTGCTCGCACCTTCTTCCGCAAGGCTCCTTACAGAACGTGCAAGGGTCTCCACAGTTCCTCTTACACTTGCTGTGCTTGCAACGGTACTCGCAGGGCTTCAGACAAGGTTTGCACGCTTGCCGACACGGTATGGTACACTCGTGGTTGCACACCAACGGGACTCCACATTTCTCTCTGCACTTCACATGGATGCGACCTTGAGAACACTCGCCGCAAGTGCCCTGACAGATGTGGTTGCACTTCAGCTTGACTCCACATGGTTCTGAGCAGCGTTGCAACAGGATTTTAGAATCCTCTGGAAAAAAAGGAATAATTGTTCAAAATTGGATTCATTCATCAATGTAACCTGCATCAAGAGCCACACAAACATTTCAGCACCGCTTTAACATTTCAATATCACTTTTGTAAAACGATTCATCTTTTTCCTCAAAATAGGTCTCAGTTTCAGCAATAACCTCTTCATTTGAGCAATTTTTTACCGGTGAGCATTTTTTGAGGTCTGCGAACAGCCAGTAGTCCCTGGGAGCCAAATCTGGCGAATACTGTGGATGTGGGAGCAATTCTAAGTTTAATTCATGTAGTTTTGCCATTGTTTTGGTTGAGTTGTGACACGGTGCGATGTCTTGATGAAACCAAGTTTTTTCTTTGGCAAGTGCATCTACGATGGTGAAATTGAAGTTTCAAGTACTGATGTGGCCAATAATTTCAATATCAATTTTACTCGCGTCATACAACACGGGGACACTGATACTAACTTTATGGAAGGTAATGTTGATAATTCGCCATTTTCCGTATTCATTCGTCCAATTACAGAATTTGGTTATTTTGACATGGTGAATAAACTCAAAAATTCAGATGCTAGCGGAGTTGACAGTATCTCAAACAATCTCCTTAAAAAATGTGCTCATGAGTTGTGTAATCCATTAATATATCTAATTAATCTTTCTGTTGAGCATGGCATATTTCCTGAAAAATTAAAAGTTGCACTAGTTACTCCAATATTCAAGAAAGGAGACCCTAATACGTATGATAATTATAGAGGAATAAGTTTACTATCCAGTATATCCAAATTATTTGAGTTAAATATTAAAAATCAACTGCTAACATTTTTAACAGCAAATCACCTTCTCTCATCGAATCAGCATGGTTTTACGAATAATCGAAGTACTGAAACAGCTCTATATGACTTCAATGAACACTTAATAACTTCTCTTGACTGAAAATTTCAAATATGCGGTTTGTTCATAGATTTCTCAAAAGCGTTCGATTGTGTAGATCACGAGTTATTACTTTTGAAAATGAATAGACTTGGGGTGCGGGGAATTGCTCACGATTTGATAAAGACATATCTTCAAAATAGGAAACAGCAAGTCATTGTACAAGGTGTGAAAATTATTATTAGGGTCGTTTCTTTGCAATTTCGGCCTTTCAACGCTTCAAAAACGCTATATAATATTAACTGATGATGGTATTTCCCTTCTCAAGATAGTCGATGAATATTACACCACGCACATCCCAAAATACCATGGCCATAACTTTCCTTTCCAGCCGATTGTTGTGTTGAGGTTCACCAGTTGCTCTCCACTTAGATGACGATCGTTGTTGTTGATTCCGGAGTGAAATGATGGATTCATGTTTCATCCATTGGCAAAAAAACAGGTTTTTTATGTTTGAACATGGCCAAACACTGCTCAGAATCATCAAGACATCTCTGTTTTTGGTCAAAAGTGGGCTCGCGCAGAACAGAACTTCCTCATAGTCAAATGCTCATGCAATATAAAACCAACACGTTCTTTTGGTTTTGTTGTGAATCATCCCTGAAAGAAAATAACGCCGGGCACCACTGGTTGCCATAAACCAATAGTGACGCAGCTAAGAGCACGCGAATGTACGAAGATTCCCCGCCACTCTAGAATCAGCGAGAATAATGCTACCGATTTCGATAGAATTTCGGCGAAATTTTCTAGCGCATTCGATTACGATATATCAGACACAGTAAAGTGGATGTTACAGTGCGGCACGCGAAGTGATTTAGTAAGGCGATAGACATTCAAATAATAGTTGAAATTTTAGTTGAAGTGTTTGTTGTATTTATAGTGAAATAAAGTTGAGTTTGATTATTCAGTGTAGTCAATTATTGATCAACCCACGGGGAAAAACGTAACATTTGGTGTCAGAAGTGGGATAATTGACTAAAAATTAACCAAAGAGACTGAAATAAATTGGTTCTTTCTGTTGGCATACAAGAGTTACCAACATGGCGCGACAGGTTATACACCATCCATGTTGCTAACTGGTAGGAAACTGAAGCTTCTGATAGATGTATTGTATGGCAATCCTTTCGATGAATCTCAAGAGGTACCTAATTTAGAGTATGTGAATGACCTGAAGGAGAGACTGGAAATTGTTCACGAATTTGCCTGGACCAAATCACAGCTTTCCAACGACAGGATGAAGATAAGATTTGACAAAAAGTCGTTGCCAGTGAGCTTCAAGAAGGGCGATGTAGTGTGGCTCTATCAACCCCAACGTCGGAAAGGTTTGTGTCCCAAGTTGCAGAAACCATGGCAAGGACCTTACTTGGTAACCAAAAAGATAAACGATCTGGTGAACAGAATCCAATTGTCACCCAGAAGCAAACCTAAAGTTGTTCACATAGAGAGGCTGAGTCTTTACATGGGTCGCGATGTCCCCTCTTGAAATGTTGTTTGGGGCAAACAACCTCAGGAAAGGGGGTAGTGCTGTAAATCAAGCCCGAAAGAAAATAACTCCGGCCACCACTGGTAGTATAGCTACCAATAGTGACGTAGCTAAGAGCACGCGAATGTACGAAGATTCCCCGCCACTCTAGAATCAGCGAGAATAATGCTACCGATTTCGACAGAATTTCGGCGAAATTTTCTAGCGCATTCGATTACGATATAAAAACGCTTGCCAGGAGCGTATCGGACACAGTAAAGGGGACGTTACAGTGCGGTACGCGAAGTGATTCAGTGAGGCGATAGATATTCAAATAATAGTTGAAGTGTTTGTTGTATTTAAAGTGAAATAAAGTTAAGTTTGATTATTCAATGTAGTCAATTATAACTACTCCAAGGGGGACAATATATGGAAGTCAGAGCTTCAATATTTTTTTGAACTGGAATTTCAATAATTCGTTACTTTAGTATCTACTTCAATATTTACTATGTAGTTAGGACTGGATTTCAATCTCAAGTGTAGTCATCTCGTCGAAGATGTCGGGGAAAGTATCAAGGCATTAGAAGCTTCGAAATCGATTTATTATTGCTTCTCTTTGCTGAGATATTCGAAATAGTTCGGATATCATGAAATCTCAACAGCTTTCTTTTGAAGGTTAGCACTAACTGAAAAAGTAGTAAATGCAATAATACTAACGCCATCTATGTGTTAGGCCCGATATTTTTCAGCCCAGGTACTATCTTGGGAATATAATAATAATAATAATAAAGGTCTTTCATTAATTTTCAGTTATATTCATACATGTGAACTAAAAAAAATAAATGGGCGAGATTCAGTATGGCAATCGGCACCGGAAGGTACAGACTGACATCTGTTCTTCCACCTAACCCAAAACAGACTACTAAATGGCAAATCAGAACAAACACAAAAAAAAGAAAAAAACAGTGATTACTTTTGAATGCACTTACGTTACAAGGAATATAAACATTGCTAAATCAATAAATAAATCACAGTTCAAATTGAAGATAAAGATCAGTCAAAGAAACATACATAATATTTTTTAAACATTGTAAGTGGTATATTAATAATTCTCAGATCGAACTAATTAATAATTCTCAGATCGCACTGAAGATGAAGAGTAGGAAAAATGAACAGAATTTAAAAAACAAAAAATAGAACTTACTATCTATCGAGAAATCTGATGATACGAGTCCGGAAAGTCGATAACAAGAGTTCTTTCAACTCTGGTGGTATTTTATTCATACATTTGGTGATGTGATACGAAAATGAACGTCTATAGAATTCTGTGTGAAAGATTGGGGGAGAAAACAAACTTTTTCGTCTAATGTTAATATTATGTACATCTAAGCGAAATGTTATCTTATTGTACAAATAGGGGGGGGGGTTTCGGTATTTTAAAACTTTGTAAAAGAAGCAGGCAGAGTGAAGGAACCTTCGATCACTCATATTAAGCCATTTGTTTGTTTTCAATGTGTGTGAAATCAAATCGTATTTTTGATGCCATAGATTAACCTCAAGCAACTATTTTGGATATTTTGGATTCGTTTGGTGTCAATGGAGTTTATACAAGGAGCGTAAATAACATCGCAGCAGTAATTTAACCTGGATAACACCAAAGAGTCACATAGTAAACTTTTAATTTTTTTATTAAATAACTGTCTATTTTGATAAATCAGTTTGAGATTACAGTATGCTTTTTGTATACTTGTACTGATATGATAAGAAAATCTCATCTCTTCGTCAATCCACAAACCCAGATTCTTAACTTTATGAGAAAGTGTTAAAGGCCCCCCCCAATCTGAATGCTAGCAAAGTGGTTTGCAGTAAATTCTTTTCTAGCATTCTTTCTACCAAAAACGATTGCAACAGTTTCATTTGAATTCAGTTTTAGGCAATGATTATTAGAAAATTGCTCAAGATTATATAGATCAAAATCTATACATAAATATATACATAAATCCTTCAATTCCTTCAATTGGCAAAAAAATCGCTAATATCATGTGACATCAACATCAACACTACAGTTGTTGGTCAACTATTTTAAAATGTGGAATCAGTATTAGCTCGAGCCTTCTACTTCTCCATCTTTGTACAAAAAACGCGTTTTTCCTTATAACGTTATCCATACTTGCTACTGAAGAGTCGATAAGGCAAGTTTCTTACGGCGAAACCTCGGATGTCTAGCAGTAAAGATGTGTTTCATGTAAGTGAAATTATATATATAGTCAGTGAAATTTTACTTCTTTCATTATTTATATTGTGTAGGAATCTTGTGAATGATATCTGATTCAATTCCATTACAGATGTTTCAAACGAAACGGAATAGAGAAAAGTGTTTTTTCGTATAATTCAGCGTTCATATAAAAGTATTTCTTTCGAAAGAATTTTTTTGTCGTATAATTCAATGTTTATATGGAAGTGGCTGTTTCAGGAGGACTTTCTTCCAGTTTGTGTCTGAAAGTTAATTATTTGCGTGATCTACACATCGCTTTGTATAGAGGTAATTTTTAAAAATTGATTCCTTCCTTTCTTTGGAAGATTGCCACATTTTTTTGTATCAAGATGGAGTAGTAGAAGGCCATAAACTTTCTTTCCCAAAAATTAAACTCTCCTAAAAATATACCCTTTAAATTCACAAAACAATCAAATGATTCAAACTCACCATTATCCTTCAAGAAACATTTTATTTTTTTGATGACGTGATCACACGGACTAGGAATGGCGCAGTCGATTATTACTTTACATTTTTCGGTGCATTCTTCGTTACATTTGTTCAAGCACGGGTGACCGCAAGGCAGCAGACGTGGACATTTTCCTTTACAGTACTTCCTATCAGGTTCAATGTAACATTCAATGTTGATCTCATGTTCGCAAATGGGAACGATTTTTTTAACCTGTAAAAACAATAAGTTAATAAATATAAATGTTACTGGAGTTTTTTCCCAACACCAAATCGTCATTTTTACACCTCGACACGTGTTTCGATCACCAAGTGATCATCTTCAAGAGGAAGATAAAACTGTTTTTATCTGTAGTTTTATCTTCCTATATAGGTAGTACGTTTAATATACTGTACTAAATATTAAGTCCATATATGGGAAAAAACATCTTCAATATTATAAATTGGACTTAGAAGAAGTGATTTTTTAAGTAGTGCTTAAACTTTTTTGTAGTGAATATCTTCCAATCCACCGGTATAAGGTTATATAGTTAATTGGTAGATAGTCAATCTGCTTCATTGTTTTAGTGTTGTTCTCTCGAGGTAGTCTATAAAATTCTTTATTGCGGGTATTGTACTTATGAATTTCACTCCACGTAGTGTTAGCATTTTTGTTTTGGTGTATCCACAAGATGGCTTCTGTGATATACAGTGTCACCATTAAAGTGCGCACCATATGGGAAACTTTTTTTTCGAAAAGTTTCAATGAAGTTTAACTTCGGCACTTGTTTGTGCTTTAATCAAGAGTATCATAATATAAATATGCAATTAATATCTTGTAACTGGAACAATAACTCAGTTAATGTCGATAATATTTTACATGAATTAATTGATAATGTGTCAACAATTGTTAATGAAATTGTCCCTGAGAAAACAATATATCTCAAAAGTAATTATGTACCCTACTTTGATGATGAACTTAAAGAAAAAAGACGTGAGCGTAATAATGCATATTACAATTTTAGGCATTGCGAGGGTGGTCTAAAAGAAGAACTTTGGAATGTCTAGAAGACCTTTAGAAATCAATATGTTGTTTTACTAAAGGAAAAAGAGAGATTATATTTTGAACAAACTATAGACAAAAATAAAAATAATAGTATGGAAATGTGGAAGTGTCTTAAAAAACTTGTTAAGCCAAAACAAGATGTTGTTTTGAGAATAATAATCAAAATGTAATTTTGAATAAGGAAATAGACATTGCTAATAGTTTCAATTCATATTTCATATATAGTGTAAATGAAATAACTTCTGTTTTTCAAAATGTACAGCAATGGACCCATGACTACCCTGTTTTCTACCCTAATTTCACTGAATTCTCGCCTTTAACAATTAATGAACTAAGAAATATTATATTCGCGCTTGACAAAACTAACAAAGCAGAAATTTTAAATGATAATTTCTTTTAAAAAAGCTTTGATGTGGCTGGGTACGCAATATTAAATTTAATTAACACATCACTTAGAACCGGTGTGTTTCCAGATCAATTTAAGATTTCCACTGTTGTTCCTGTACCGAAAATTAACTCAATTAAAGCTGAACATTTTATACCATTAAATATACTATCAACTCTTGAAAAAGTGTTAGAAATGTCTGTGTATAACCAATTAATTCAGTACTTTAATACCAATAAATTGTTTATAGGCAACTAATCAGGTTTTAGAGCTAGACACTCATGTGAAACGTCTACAATTTTTAATAACTGAATGGAAAAATACAATTGATAGAAATCAGTACATTGTTGCGACATTTCTCGACCTTAAAAGGGCATTTGAAACAATTGACCGAAATATTCTACTTGAAAAATTAAAATATGGGATATCAGGCATTGTTTTCGATTGGATTCAAAGTTACTTATTCAACAGAAGACAAAAAATTAAATTTGGAAAAGAATTGTCAGATGAACTTATAATTGAAAGTGGCATACCCTAAATGATATTAATCACATATCTGGATCACACTGTATAAATCTTTTTTCACATGATACATTGGTTTATTGTATACATGAAAATTTGGATCAGGCAATTGTCGAAATGAATAGGTCTTTAAATAGCATTGAAACATATTTATTTATTAATAAACTGAAACTAAATGTCAGTAAAACAAAAAGTATGATTTTGACATCATCTTATAAGTATTACCTCCATAGCATCCACATTGTTGTGCAGTAATTTATACACAAAAATTAATCCAGCAAGTTTTCTGCGTAATTCAAGACCTACAATATTGAATGTTATGGTAAGAGATTCATTTGGAATAACTCTATCAGGATAGATACCATAAGATTTGAAGTAAATAAACTTCAGGAAACGACGTTGAACTTTTTCAATTAATGTATTATGGCAACTGTAGAATGGAGACCATAGAACAGAGCCATATTCTAATTTTGACCTTACGTAGGCTACATAAAGAGTCAATAGAGCAGATACGTTTCAAAAAGATCTACAATTGCGAACTATAAAGCCATAAACTCTCAATGCTTCAATGCTTTTTTTTTAAATGGTATCTACTCGATAATTGTACTCAATGACTGACATTTTCCTACTATAAGACACTACTTTACATTTGGATGCATTGAGATATAGTTTGTTTACTTCACACCAAGTCTGTATATTTTCTGTCGTTGCAATGTATTACAGTCTTGGATAGTTTCGACAGGTAAATATATTTTCAAATCATCTGCAAAAAATAACTTATTACAATCGACATAATACTGAGGTCATTAGTAAATAATAAGAACAGAAGTGGTCCGAGATTCGACCCCTGAGGTACACCAGATGAAGGATTGTAATAAAAAGAATCATAGCCATTATAAAATACAAACTGTTCGCGTTGAAGTAAGTAGGATTTAATGAAAAGTATTGCTGAATAATGGAAACCAAATTGGTGGAGTTTTTGTAGAAGGATCATGTGATCAAGTCGATCAAATGCTTTAGCAAAATCAGTATATATCACATCAACTTGACCACGATTATCTGGGACATCACTAACATTTGGGTCAATACAATTAAATTTGTTATGGTGGATCTGTTTGACATAAATCCATATTGTTTTGATGACAAACTTCAATGGAGGACACATATTGACCACTTATGTAATAAACTTGGAAAAGCCTGTTATTCTCTTAGGTTTCTATCCCACCATTGTGGTCAAAGTATTTTATTAACTGTCTATTACGCAAACTTCAATTCGCATCTTAGATATGGCATCCTTAACTGGGGCACATCCTCTACCATATCTTGTGTGTTTTTTATACAAAAGTATGCTATTAGGATCATTGCTAAGTTGGGCTATAGAGATTCTTGTAGAGAAACTTTTCAGCATTTGAAAATATTAACGCTAGCAGGAGTATACATAATGGAAGCTTGCACATATATCTATCGAAATAGAAACACTTTAGCTGCTAACAGAGCCTATCATAATCACTCTACTCGGAATGCCCACTTATTATTATCTAGTCAACATCGCACTGCTCTTTTCCAAAGAAGTTTTGAGTTTCAAGGCTGCAAACTTTTTAATAAACTCCCCGACAATATCAGAAATTCTGAAAATGTACACATTTTCAAATCAAGACTGAAGCAACTTCTTCTGTCAAAGAACTGCTACAGTATTGATGACTTTTATTTGTAATCCAATACTATATGTGTGTATAGAAAACAATTATCTATTATTATATTTATGTGGTATACATCGTGTATGTTGTATATATGTGTATACATATGTGTGTGTATGTGTACATATGTGTGTGTATATGTGTATATATATATGTATATATGTGTATATATATATATAGATATAATTTATTTTATTTTTTACACATTTTTTAATTTATAACTCTGTGACATTATCTATTTCGTATAGTTTGATTTTTTTTCAATATTGTACATTGACGTTTTCCTCTTTTTCATTTGTACTTCTGCTCTTGTGGTTATACAAATCAATCTGAGTAAATAAAGATATTATTATTATTATTAATATATGATATTACGAACTGCAGAATCACTAAATAAGTTCATCTCTTTTGCTGAGGATAGTACTAGCTACAATGGCAAACGCTAAAAGTCAAGAAAACAAAAAGACATTCGTGACTTTTTTAAATCGTAGTAAAATATGTTTTACAGTACGTGTACATACATTATATCAAATGCAAAATAAACTTTTTTGTATTCACATACTGTATTTGAGGTTTAATTATTAACCTAATTGTTCTTATAATTAACAGCTGAATTGTGTACATATATATGTTCCAGACTAGTGTATCAACATAAAAAAAAATCACTATTCGAGTGTAAGTAGCCCGCAAAGTTTGAACATTCACCTTATTTTTTCAACAGACCTCGTTTATGCATACCAGTAACTATATATTCAACAACAAACAACTCCTGATTACCAAAATCAGTCGATTTTACAACCAATTACAATCAACTATTTTCAAAACTTACCTTTTCTTTGCAATTTTCGCAGGGTTCTTCGCACTTCCTCTTGCATTTGTGGCCACATGGTAGGAGTTTCTGACACGGTTTTTGACATTCTTTGAGGTCGGCATCCAGATTACAGGGAGTTTTGGACATGTGGTTGCACCTACTTCTTCTCTTCAGAACTTCTACTTCGCAATTGGGACATTCCTCGTGACACATTCTCGGGCACAAATGAGCCTCGTCGTTCTGGAGAGAACATCCTTTGCGATATCTGTCGCACGGTTTCGTGCATTTATACTGCCAACAAATATTTCTTATATATCACCCAACCAAACTACACACATCGGAAAAGTCTAGGGATATTTTTATAACATACTAAATATCATAAAAATAAATGCATGAGGTCGTTTAATTTCGATTAAATTGGTACACTCNCCCGTCAACTTTTTTTCCCTAAAGCGATATAAAAAAAAATTATTGCCATTTTTAAAAATATCCCTAGACTTTTCCGATGTGTGTATAATCCAAACTGTATTCAGTGTGAAAGAATTCAATTTTCTAGAATATTCCATGAATATTGTCAAATATGGAAAATAATCATGAAATAATTCAAATTCATTTAAGCAAATACATGGATTGAAAGATGTTCCAATCTCAACTTCAATATTCTAAAACAAAAACACTCAGTATTCAGAATTCCATCTTTTAATATTCCAAGTTCATAGACATCAAAATTGATACGATCACAGGATATAGAAATATAAAACAGTCTCCAAATACGTAAACTTTGCACAGATTGCTACTAAGCATTTTACCTTAGTACAGCGACCGGATCAAAGTTGCAATGTCAGCGTATAAATCTTCATAAGTACTGAGAGAGGTCAAGATGAACAACAGACAGTAATGAGAAATTCATTCAGTATATATTGATCTTCAGAAAAGATTCCAGCAATGCAGCACATCTCTTTTTCTTCGATCCTGCTGGGTGGCAGTATAATGTAAGTTTTTGGTGATTTATTGTATTTTTGATTAACATTTTAGTGTAACTTTATTCCCGAAGTATTTTCCCCGTTTCGTTACAATTACTATTTAATTAAGTTTTTCAAATGAGTTTTTTGATTATTTGGATGAATGATGAATGGGTGAAACAGTAAAAAGATTTATAATTATAATTTGGTAGATCCTATAATAGTTTAGACGAGTTTTATGAGGACAGTTGTCTCTATTTTATCTGTATTTTTAGTATATAGACAAAGTATGGTATACTACATTTTTAATATTGCAAACTTTTCCTATATTGTTTCTTTAATATATATAAATCCTTCATTCAGTCAAATACTAATAACACAGTTCAAAACTGAACATTCCCCTGAATCCTCTCGTTATAAGTCAAGCGAGTACTGAGTTGCGACAATATACAGCACAAGAAATTCAAAAAAGGGTAACAACCCGTTCAAGGGCATCATTATAATCATAAATCTATTCCAAAAGTGTCACCTTTCATAATATGTGAAGGTAATACGGTGAATAAATATATGTTTTTCTACAGTTTGTAATGTGCAAAAAGGGACTTTGGAGGACTGTTACTCTAGAAATGAGAGCACCGATTTTTATTTTTGGATTCGTCAAAATACATAATGAGTACACCCAACATTTTTTTTTTTAATCCAAGGGAGATCATTATCAGTCATAATGATCTTCTGAGGACGCTAAGTTGGTTAGCGAAACACTCGTCGAGAAGTCGTATTTTGTTCTGGTGTTGAAAAAGTGTTTTCAATAGATACTTCTATGTTTTTGTTTGTCATCAACAATTTGAATATTACTGGAATTTTTCCCAACACCAACCAAATCGTTATTTTTAACACCTCGACACGTGTTTCGATCACCAAGTGATCATCTTCAAGAGGAAAATTAAACTGGAAACTTCGCGAAGCTGGCGCTATTTATGCTATACAGGTATATCATACAGGTAGACCATACAGGTCTACCATTCCTAAATGAATTTTACAATTTGCCTTATATATTATTTTACAATACAATGTCCTACAATATGTTTTGCTACATATAAAACATTTTCACCTATATAAAAAATTATTTTCACAACATTGCGTATCTAAATTTATTTTTACAATGTGTCTTTATGTAGTAATCAGTAAATCCAATATTATTTTAACAAGCTATGTAGTATGCTATTTGGTATTGGTCCGTTATCGTTATTCATAATATTATTATGTTTACTTATTTCTACACTCTAGTTGCCTGTTGTTATTAACTTGTCTAACTAATCTTAAAGAACTGAAGTCTATGGAATGGTTTTGTTGCAAAATATGATGGGCGACTGCTGATTTTTCAGGTCTTCCATATTTGTAAAATTAATTTAGGGGTGGTAGACCTGTATGGTTTACCTGTATGATATACCTGTATAGCATAAATAGCGCCAGCTTCGCGAAGTTTCCAGTTCAATCTTACTCTTGAAGATGATCACTTGGTGATCGAAACACGTGTAGAGGTGTTAAAAATAACGATTTAGTGTTGGAAAAAACTCCAGTATTATTCATTGCAACACCAAAGGTTCCAAACAGTGCATCAACATTTTGTTATGCTACAACGTATATATGACATACTATATTTTATATAAGATTTTATTTATTACTTTTATATTATTTTAACATAATCAAAAAATGTTTGTCATCAGTAATTTGGATGATAAACATATTTGACTATCTCTCTCTGTCAAGGTACATGATGAATTAAATCATATGGTGCTGACACATCCCTCAGTGAGAAACTGACCTAAATTGCTGGTAAACGAAATAAAAATTCCCCATTTGAATAAATTGTCAATCAGCGGAAATCTCACCTAAGAAAGTAAGTAAGTGGTACGTATTTGGGCGTTTGGCATATGCCTGTGATTGTGCATATGAAGAAAACAATAATGTTGTAGATCATGCCCGAAAAAAAGTAACTCCGGCCGCCACTGGTAAACCAAACGTGACGTAGCTAAGAGCGCGGGAATGCCCAATGTTCCCTGCCGCTCGAGAAACAACAAGAAATATGCTAGCTATGTCGATGGAACTTCGACAAGAATTCTACGATGTTCGATTACGATATTTAAACGCTGGCTGCGAGCGTATCGACACAGTCAAGTGGACGTTACAGTGCGGTTCGCGAAGTGATCTAGTAAGGCGGTAGACATTAAAATGATAGTTGAAGTGTTTGTTGTATTTAAAATGAAATAAAGTTAAGTTTGATTCAGTGTAGTCAATTATTGATCAACCCACGGGTAAAAACGTAACAATACAAACCTCTAAATGATCAGGGTCGTTTCTGATGTGACAACTCAGCCGACAGGCATGTCCGCAGGGTTCAACTCTCGAGTCGCAAGGATGAGGACAACTGAAAGTTTCTGCATCCTCGTGACACGGTTTCTGTGCTTCATGTTCACATGGTAGTTTCGTGTCAACAAGTACAGTGCACTTGTGCGCCAACGGATCAACATGACAGGCGATCATGACTGAATGACCGCACTGCAAATCTCTTTTAACAGGATATGTGCACGGACCGCATTCCTCGTGGCACCGCTTCCGGCATACGTGGGTTGGGTCGTCGTCACATAACAAGCTGAAAAAAGAATAGATGACATGAGATTTGTACAATCCTCTTTTTATCACAAGGAGAAAAAAATGTTGCTGCCTTTTATATTTCGGGATAAGAGAACAAAAACATATATTAATAATCAAAAACCACTCTATTGTTTTTCAAAATTGTTGAATTAGATTTCATTAAGTGATTATGTTTTGTCCTTGTTTATTTATGTTCTATTGATTAAAAAAAAATGCTGTATAGTTGCTATAAATAAAGTTAATGTTTTGCTGTAGTTGAAATTCTATCTCCTGATAGAAGTCAAGAATTCTGTGAATTGATGATGGACAGAATGAACGCAGATTTGCAGTTCATAAACAAAATAGTGTTTTCTGATGAAGCGACGTTTCATTTAAACGGAACAGTTAACAGACAGAACTGTAGAGATTGGAGCAGAGAAAATCCTCACTGGATGTGTGCGACTCACACTCAATATCCTGAAAAAGTTAACGTTTGGGCTGGTATCATTAACAATAAAATTATTAGCCCTTATTTTTTTGAGGGCACTGTTAATGGTGAGGTTTATCTAGATTTTTTGAATAACTTTTTAGTGCCTACATTACAAATACATTTTTCTGATGTTAATCATCCAAATGAGATAGATGGAACTATTTACTACCAACAAGACGGAGCTTCACCGCATTTTGCACGTACAGTTAGAAATTATTTAAACGAGGTTTTTCCAAATAGGTGGATTGGAAGACGTGGAACGATCGAATGGCCGGCTAGATCCCCCGATTTGACTCCTCTCGATTACTTCTTATGGGGTTATTTGAAATCTAAAGTATATTTTAATAGACCAAACGATATTGCTGATTTAAAAGTTAGGGTAACGGAAGTTTTGTACTGCCACTAATTCATTCCACTCTAAGTAGAAAAAAAGACTCACAGCAAAAAAAAGAGGCGAGGAAGAGATCGTTGCTTTTATATCATCATAAGTTATTGAAACTTCTCAAGATTAATTCATTTATTACAAATCCATGCCGGTTCTGGTATAAAAGTATCACTCAAGACGCTGAAGGACTTGTAGTTCCTCGAGGAAACTCCAAAAAACATCCTGTCAACAATTCCGGTGAGTGGCTGGTCTCATGTGTTGAAAATTAAAATGTATTAATAATAAAATACTGTCCACTGCATTAACCTCGTTCGATCACCTATAAACATTGTATACTTCTTGGAAACCACAAACAAAATAGGTATACTTGGTAGCAACGAATATGTTTTCCCTTGTTAGAAAGCTGTGCAAAAATACTGTAACGAATCTGAAGCCGGTCCTGACCGATATCTCAGCCAGCAAATAAACACATGACTCATCGCGAAATAAATGAACTCGACAAGTCGCCGCGAAAAGTCTAGACCACTACTGAAACGACTAGAGAAATCTAGCATGGTCGTTACCGATTTATAAGGCTCGCTTTTCGTCTTGAGATGGCAGTCTGTATCTAGAAAGCGAATCGTGCGTTTAAATAAAGAATTCGAACAGTGAAGATGAATTAAGCGTTACTTGCTAAGTGTTGAATATAAATTAGTTGTGATAGTGAAATATTGTTGAAAATAAATGTGTTTAAGACAGTTAATTCTTCAATTCGCTACAATACTTTTCCTAGTTCATTTCCCTCGCTTACTCCCCACTTCGAACAAGCTGACTTACTTGACGCAATCTTCCCTGCACTTATAAAAGACGTGTTCCATGTCTTCAACGTGACATAACCTCTTGCAGAAATGACCGCATCCTAATTTCGCCTCACACATGAGATCGCACCCTCCCTCAGGAAAACTATTGAAGTCTTCTGCTTTCTTAACGTGGGTGATTTTATGGCGATGCACTTGACAACGGAAAGTGAGATATGGGCCAATGGCGTCTTGATTTTTCAGGGAATCCCTTATTTTCGGCCATATCTAAAAAAAAAAACAATCTGTCTTTTTCACATCAGGACGATTATAGCTTATTGAGAAATGAGCACATTATTTGAATATTTGGCAGCTAATACTGCAGTCCGCTGTAATTTTTATTCAATCAAAAAATGTAGAGTGTTCTTTCATTTAACTTCCGAGGTTTAGTTTATAATTCGATTCAAAATTATTTACTGAATAGGAAGCCAATCTGTCTATATGTACTACATAATTAGTTTTGAGGAAAATATAATAATATGTGGGGTACCGCAAGTATCCATCCTGGGACATGTTTTGTTTCTTATATATTTCAATTCTTTGACTACAACAAATTTATTTGGTAAACGACAAATGTTTGCTGATGGCACCGCTTTAATTCACAATGGAAATAGTTTATAAGAAATTATAATTGTTATTTCAAAAAACCTTGATCAAATACTATTATGGCTTCACCATCTAAATTGTCACTAAATTTTCAGTCATCTTCGTATATGTTTGTATCAAAAACTTATATGTCAATTTATTTATAAGTTTAATAAAGATAAAAATAACAACAACAATAAAAATTAATTGGCGGTCCGGGGCGACTTCACTGATTCCAGTGGCGCATTTGCTTTTTCATCTGCAGAAAAACCCGGAAAAACCTGCAGCACCACATCATATGAGGATCTTGATCTGCCAATGTCCTCTCTCTCATAAAACAAAATGTAGGGTGTCTCCAGAGGCTCCAATAGATTCAATACATCGCCAAAACTCTTTCAATAAAATTCCATAATGTAAATATCAAATATTCTTCTACTGGAGAGTCAGAATAATGAACATAATCCAAAGAGGTGCGTGCATATGAAATGCCTAAGTTCTGGTGAAAGTACCAAATCCTTGCCTCTCATACAAGACCTATGAATTTGTAGGTACATGTAACAGATATCCAACAACTAACCCAGCTAATGTCGCATAGAAAGCTGAAGTGAAAATATCAGGCACCCATGCAAAGTCTTCCATTTGGAAGGTTTGTCGCAAGTAACTTCCTATATATGAAAAGCTGATTAATTTCATTTAGTTGGGACAACCACTGTAGTACTACAAACTGATTTTGAAAGTGAAAATCGAATAATTTAAATGCAAACATAAACTGTATTACTCTGACGACGATAAAGTATATTCTCTCCCCCTATCCTGAATAAACAAAATTCACTCCAACCAGTCACAAGCTCTACCTGCAGTTGATTCAGTAGGTTGTACCACTGCGCCACCTGCAGATAAAGTCAGGAAGCAACTCCACAAACACATACTCCGGGGCGGGGGTTAGAATGATAAATATATTCTGGAGAGGTGCATATGATACGGCTAAGTTCAGGTGAAAGTACCGAATCCTTGCCTCTCGTGTGAACCTACGACTTTGTAGGTAAGTGTGGCAGATACAGAAAAACAACAGCTAACTCTGCTAATGTCACCCAGAAAACTGAAGTAAAACCAACAGGCACCTGTACAATATCTTCCATTGCTTTCTATATATGAAAAGCTGAAATTAATGTTTAGGAATGAACAGTTTTGGCTTTCTATTTCCCCAAATATAGGAAGATACTTGTGACGAATCTTCCAAATGGAAGGCGTTGCACAGATGCCTGATGGTTTCAAGTCAGCTTTCTGTACACATACCTAAAAAATTGTAGGTTTCACACGAGAGGCAACGGTTCAGTACTTTGCCCAGAACTTGGACATCTCATATGCACCTCTCATGAATGTGTTTATTATATGTATTATATGTGTGTGTGTGTGTCTGTATGTGTATATATGTATGCGAGTATAAATATATCCTCTGATATGTATAATTATGTCCACGACATTCATAATCATTTTTAAGACTCTCAAAGTATATTCAATTATCTGATATTTTTTTTTAGTTTCAGTTCTGATTCATCTTTTTTTGTTGCTTTGTTCATATTTAGTTTTGAATCATTGTTTTTCCTCTTCTACAAAAATGTATATTTCTTGGGAAAATAAATAGTTATTATTATCTGTATCGCAATATTAAAAGTAGGCATTCTTTTAGGAAAACACATACCTCACTATTATCACAAAGCAGCGACATATTTCCCATCATGTAGAAACCGTTCCTGGCTCTTGACAAAGCCACACATACCCTGTTTTCTATCTTTAAGAATCCAATTTTATTATTGCTGTTGCTCCGAACTAGAGACAAAAGGATAATATTGCTTTCCTCTCCTTGGTAGTTATCTAAGACTGCAATTCTGACGTTTTGCAGCAAATTGGAGTAGAGCTTCTTCTCACGTTGCATCTCGAACATCTGACCTAGGTATGCAGCAAGAATTGTGATGTCCTGAAATATTATTCGTGATCAAGAAACTATATTTTGATGATTTTCGAGATGAAACTAAGTTTACCAGCTCAATGATATTGAAAAAATCTGAGACGCAGCTTTATCCTACATAAATTATAATGAATTCTATTGTCCATTTCGAATTGTTAATGCAAGGTACTAGTGTGAATATCAAAATATACAATGATAATGGCATTTATTGTCCAACAGATTGTATAATCCCCTTATAGAGCAATATCAGAATAGCGAGGGTCGAAGGAAATGAAAAAGAATGCTACTACAAAAATAGATGCCGACAAGTACAGTAGAAATAAAACAATTCAATGAAAGTATTAACTTATGTAGGTTAGGCTACCAAACAAATAAAAAAATTGAAACATTAATAAAAGCTGAAAATTAAAAAATATCAATAACAAAAAATGAAAAATTAAAATTAAAAGATTTTTTCGAAAGCAAATTGTAAGACTCTCAACCGACTCAAATATAGGAGAAATCAAAGCAGGTGTCCCTCAAGGTTCCATCCTAGGACCCATCTTGTTTCTATTGTATATTAATGATATAACACAACTGGATCTAACTGCTAGCATCACATTATTTGCAGACGACACAATGTTGCTGTGGCAGGGAAAAGATCCTACAAAACTAGCTCAAGATGCCACTGTAGACATGGAAAAAATTAAGAGCTGGTGCGACTCAAATAAGCTTTCTTTAAACTTTGATAAAACCCATCTCCTCACCTTCAAATGTGAACTCCCATCTCTTAGTTTGAATAACAACATTCTCGAGATGAAATTGTCCTCCAAATTCTTAGGACTTCACATTGACAATAAGCTTAAATTTGAGGATCATATTATCAAGTTGAATAAAAACTTGCATCTGGCTGCTTTGTAGTGAAGTCAGTTTCGAAGGAACTGGGTAGAACCTTTGCAAGATCTGCGTTCTTTGCCTTTGTGGATGCACATATAAGATATGGTATTGCTTTCTGGGGAGTATGTAGCAAAAGCATGCTGCAGACTGTTTTCGTTTTACAGAAGCGAGCTGTCCGGTATGTTCCAAGATCACTGCAAACCATCATTCATTGTGCAACGAATTCTGACAATAATATCTCTATTCATTCTTGAAACAGTAAGTCTGATTCATAAAAATATATCTGTTCATGATGATATAAACGAGCCACACTATAATACACGTCAAGCTAACTTGATCAGACTTCCCCTGCCCACAACAACAATGGTGAAGGACTCATTGATATACAATGGAATAAAGATGTACAACAAAATTCCCATATACCTGAAGTGTTATTCTTTGAATATTTTTAGGGAAAAATTAAGCGACATTCTGATTGCTAAAGCCTATTACAGTTTAGATGAATTTTACAATGACAACGCTTTTTATGAATTATAGTTTACTATTGTACAGCATAGTTTTTTCAAGGAAATGTTTTGAATTTTAAATAGTATAGAATTTATTTTGTTTCATAAAAATGTGTTTGACACCCTATTTTAGGAATTACTTTTATACTACTTTGACATAGTTCATAATCGTTTGTCAACAAGAACTCTTTCTTAGGACAATAAACGTATTTCTCTTTTTCTCTCTCAAAAGTAACGGCATGGTAAGTAGGCATTACTTTCAACACACAAGACATAATAGATTCTATAATGCCATTAATAGAACAGAAGAGGTGCACAATGAGACCCTTGAGGTACTCCCGACGTTATGAATAATAGTTGACCTAGCAATTTCTACCCTAACTTGCTGTGATTGACCAGAAACTTTCAAACCATGATAGAGACAGATCCGCGAGACCAAATAATCTCGTCCTGTGTAATGATTTGTTGTGAACTACAGTTCCATGATGAAATGCATCTGGATTTTTTTCCAGAACCTCTATAATATTTTGCCCAAACACCAAAAGGTTGGTAACTGTAGACTTTTTCATAGAAAAACCATGTTGATTAATCATGAAAAGTTCTTTACAATAAAATTTCAACTGATCAGTTATCAGGCTAGCCTGTAGTTTAGGTATGGAAGCCTGGTTACACATACCACCTAATACTTATGACTAATTAACATCTTTTTGTAAATTTGGTGTACCGGAAATAATCTTCCCCTCAATACAAACAAATGTAAATACTCAAAATACACCCTTAAACATGATGTTTTTTCTCATGATTACTGCATAAATAACACACCTCTTCGAATAAGCACTCATCAAAGGGATCTTGGTGTCACATTTGACCCTGAACTGAGTTTCTCCATCCACTATGACACAATAACGTGCTCAGCCAAACGGATGCTAGGGCTCATTTATCGTAACTGTAAGAACAAGGCATCGACAACAGAATACTACTGGATAAATTTATTCTATTATCCCTTCAAAACCGAAGGACCTACTACTCTATAATTTTCATTTATAAACTAGTAAATAATCTGATTGACTGTCCCGAACTACTCTCCCGCTTCAACTTTCATGTTCCACGAATAAATTCTAGAAATGAGCTGACTTTTTATCTGCCAAATTGTAGAACAAACATATTACTCAAGTCACTAGTTGTTGCAATGAACAAACTCAACAATCAACTCTGTGAAAATCTCGACATTTATTATGAACCTATTGGTCAAGTTAAGAACCATGCTAAGAAACTTTACACTCTAGTCAAAATATATGAGCCCAGCTTGAAAGATACTCTACCATGTGAGCTTATTACTACTACTGTATTACTGCTGAATCATGTTTTTTTTTATAATACACCTGAACCACAGTATTTCTGTATACAGTAGTTTCACTCAGCGTCGGTCCCTTTGATGTCGGTGTCCAGGAGTTTCATTTTTTATAATGATGACGTATTTGACACTAATGACATTTCTCCCTACTACAATCTCAACCAAAGCGTGTATACACTGCTCAACATAACAACTATTCATATAAACTGCTCAAAAAAAAAACAGGCTATGAAAACCATGTTGGGCACCTGAGAAAATTGTACAAATGATAATTTTGCATTTGTGTAATATTGAAGTAACCCAGATCATTTGGGTAATGATGAACTAAGTTTCGAGTAGATTTTAAAAATTCATGGAATCGGCAGATGTTCATATTCGAATGTGACAAAATATATTTTCATTTCAACAAGAAAAAAGACAAGATAAAGAACGTGTTTTGTTATTCATGAACCATGGTACGAATCCATGCGAAATTTCTTTGTAGTGATTTTTGGGGCCAAATATAGCATATTCATTTATTGATTGGAGAATTCAAGATGGCGGACGAGTTTGCCGATTCGATTATATTAAGGACCAATTATTAAAAATATTCCTAATCGAATTCATCACTCAAGATTAAGGAATCTGTAGAGCCTATTCTTTCTGAATTATGTAGTTACTATTCAGGACTTGAAGAAGTAAAAAAGTAATTAAGTATGTAGTGTTCAATCATACAAAAATAATTTTTTTGTATGTATGTACTAACCATAAATGTATGTGAGAGTTTTCGGAGTCGGAAGTTATGAATTATTTTCACTGTAAGATAATAGGTTGTTTTGCTGTTTCCAGCTTTTATCCAAGTAAAAATTGATAATAAAATCACTGACAAGTCCAAATGCATTATATATGTTTTCCGACAGAAAACAACTACTTCTTTAGCTAATAACTCGACATATATTGACAAATGTTGATATTTGAATCTATACAAGTCTAGATGTCTAATCAACCCCGAAAAGTTGCTGCGTAGATTAAAAACAGTTATTCTAAATGAAACATGTCCTATTAGTCAGCAACTTCTTATATAATGTAAATTTGACTATCAAAAATACCTTACGACTGTTAACCTTTCGGAATCCAAGTCGCCTCAGACATAATTGCAAAGATTCTCACTTTGAAGAAACAACTTTGCAAGAGCTCTCTAGGACAAATAGTGGGACTTCGCCTGATTCGAACAAGGAACCAACTGCGAACCGTTTTGAAGTGTTCCTCATCAGTGCAGACCATGCTATCACGGTTGTATACACACAGGGACTCGTTATTCCTCCTAGAGAGCTCTTGCACAGTACCATGGTTCATGAATAACAAAACTCGTTCTTCATCTTGTCTTTTTTCTTGTTGAAATTAAAGTATATTTTGTCACATCCGATCCCATGAATTTTTAAAATCTACTTGAAACATAGTTCATCATTGTCAAAATGATCTGGGTTACTTGAATATTACACAAATGCAAAATTATCATTTGTACAATTTTCTTAGGTGCCCAACATGGTTTTCATCGACTGTATTTTTTTGAGCAGTTTATATGAATATTTGTTATGTTGAGCAGTGTTTAAACGCTTTGATTGCGTGCCTGTCTTGAACTCGTCGTTTGCGCAGACCTGAAACTGCAACTCCTGGGTCTGCGTGTAGAAAATTCAAACCAAAAATCACCCGAAGTGGGATTACTGTATATAGTATACTGTGCCTGAACTATGTTTTTACTTGTTAGCTCTATATCTGACTTAAGGTATTTTTTCAATTACTCTCCTAGCTTGCCTCACATAAGTGTTCCACCTAATTTTTTGCTTAACTCTCCTAAATGTTTACTTTATTTTATTTTTTGTTTACTCGCTTCAGGTGTTTCTAGTTGATAAATTAGTATCGTATTCATGTATATGTGTATGTATGTATGTTTATTGTGTGTATATAGGCAGATATAAACTGTAACATGCTTGTTAATAATATTAATATGTCTTGTTATTGAGATTTATTCCTATTTAGACATTAAACAGTTTTTTTAACTAGTTTTACCTCGGGTTTATAACCATTTAGGATCAGGTGACGAGCCAATCTGATCAGAAACTTAGCTTCATGCACATTCTTTTTACTGTTGTCCTTGCATATTTGTTCCTGCTCGTTATGGTCCAAGAAGTAAATGCAGTTTTCTATCCCCAGTATCTGGGGCCTATGGAAGACGGACTCGTGATCTTCTAACACTGGATAAATGGAAGGTCTGATAAGGCATGATATTTCAGGACGCATACGATGCTGAACGGTCAAAGTGTGGCACTGGATTCTGTTTATGACCATTCTCTCGAACAAACTTATACCTGTCAAGAAAGAGAGATATATTTTGAGTTGTTTCATTATCTGAGCAATAATTTCCACATTTATTTCATCCACTGAGTAACTCCTATATTTTTATTGACATGAATTTTTAAAATCTCTGTAGACTCTGCTGTTACTAATAACAGCATGTTACAATTGATCCTCTTGCATATTTAATGAACCAATCTGTCGTACAAGGGTACTTTCCAAATTAATTTATGAAAACTTTGGTGGTTCCATTATACGAAAGAGGAGTATCTAACTGAATGGTAGCCACCAGAATAAAGAATTATGAGGGTGAAAATCAAAATCAAATCAGTTTATTCATTCAAAGAATATGTCAGTATATAATGTCTGAGTACATGTATATAAATATACAGGGTGTAACTGAATAAGTGTAAAACATTTAGATCGAAAAAAGATAGGATCTTTCATGTAAAAAAACTTCATTGGAACATCCCTTGTTAAGATACAGCCCCTTAAAGGGGGTACATGAAATTTGTATAACAATTTTTTCACAAGCACTGAAAAAGTTACAATATTGAAATTAACCTGACGTTTTGTACTAACAAAAAGACACTTAGCCAGTAATTTATTTGGTTTA